CGGAAAAGCGCGTTTAGATTGGCACGGACGCTTTTCCGCAAAAAGTGCTTTTGCGGAAACGTGTCCGTGCCAATCTAGATTCTCTCTTCCAAAAATGCTTTTAACGGAAAACTTTTCCTTTAAAAGCATTTCCGGGAAATCATGCTGGTCTAGACACAGCCATGGGTTTTTTTTATTGCTGCAGGTGCCACTCAAAACTGGGGAAATTCTTCTGTGCTGGTGCCACTACGTCTCATTGCAGCTAAGGCCAGGTCTACACTATGGGGCAAAGTTGACCTATTTTATGCAACTTCAGGTAAGTGAATACTGTAGCTGGAGTCGACGTACCTTAGGTCTCATTACCAGGGGGTCTCCACTGTGGGGAGTCGACAGGAGAAACTCCCATTGACTTCCCTTACGCTTCTCATTCTGGTGAGTAGTGGCATTAACGAGAGACATGCTAACTAAATGATCAATCATTTGGCCACAGTGCCAATCTCCCCAGTAAGAGCAGACAAGCTCTTACGTACAGCCAGGGCTATCCCTAGAGGTGTGGGGCTCAGGGCAATGCCCCTGCAGCAGGCCCTGCCCCATGATCCCTCTTTGCTGCCCTGCCCTATTCTACCCTCCTCTCAGCCCTGTCCATGCTCCGCCTCCTCCTGCCACAATCCACCCCCTCCCACCTCCATTGCACCCCTTGCCCCAAACCTTCTCCCCACGCTTGCCAAGGGGACTGGAAGCAGCATGGGTCAGCCCCCTACAGTCACTGTAGCAGTGGGATCTGGAACTACCTGGCAGCCTGCTCCCCGTCACTGCCCTCTCTTGGCCTGCTGCACTCCACTTTACTGTGGTGATGGGAAGCAGATGCCCTGGCCCCAGTTGCCACCGCCGACGCCGCCTGCTCCACCTCCTTCTCCTTCTCCTCCTACAAGTGATACAGGGCTCAGGGGAGCAGGCTGAGGCCAGGGTCAAGATGCACCGCTTCCCACCACCGTGGTGAACCAGAACACAGCAGGCTGAAAGATGGGCAGCAGGATGGAGCGGAGCAGGTTGTCAGATATCCCTGGATCCTGCCGCTGTGGTGAGTGCAGGGGAGGCCGACTCCTGCTGCTGCCCCATGCCAGGTTCCCCTGTAATCCCTGAGGCCACGCTAGAGTTCCCAAGGCTAATAGGGGGACCTTCCTGTCCATAAATCCAAAGCATGAGCCTGGGCAACAGCCCTGAATCATCCTGTGGTCAGGACGGCTGTAGGCACAGTTGAGGCAAGGGCCCTTGCTTATTCCTGAAGAGGAGCTCAGAGTAAGCTTGAAAGCTTGTCTCTCTGACCAATAGAAGCTGTTCCAATAAAAGGCATTATGTTACTCACTTTGGCTACGTCTACGCTGGCGGCTTCTTGCACAAGAACATCTTGCGCAACAGTTCTTGTGCAAGAACACGTCCACACTGCCATGTGCGAGATGTGCTTTTGCGCAAGAGCATTTATGGCAGTGTGGACGTTCTCCTGTGCAAGAAAGCTCTGATGCCCACTTTAGCCATAGGGCTTTCTTGCGCAAGAAACCCCTGCCATGCGTCCACTCTACCCTCTTGCACAAGAGCTCCTGTGTAAGAGAGCTTACACCTGTTAGAAAAGAGCGTAGCTCTTGCGCAAGAAGCCCTCTCTTACCACGTCCTACTGTAAATCTTCTTGCGCAAGAGCAGGCAGGCAATGTGGATGCTCTGTGGGTTCTTGTGCAAGAACCCGCCAGTATAGACATAGCCCCCATCTCTCTTATTCCAAAAGACTGCAGTAGTGGCTAACTCCCCATCAAGTTCAGACAGCTTTTACTTTGCAAATTATCCTTGAGCATTTACCAGTTAAACCAGTTTTGTTGTTTAGCTAGGAGAATTTGAGGATCTCCTTTCCCTTCCACCTCCACCGTTAAATGGAAAACATTTGCCAGCTTCACATCTTTACTACCTCTGCTATATGCTTCTGCTAGTTACTTTCTTTTCTTCAGAACAGTTAACCAGCTTGACTTTCATGCAGTGAGGCACAGCTGCCTTTCTTTTCTTCAGAACAGTTAACCAGCTTGACTTTGCAGCTGTGCCTCACTGCATGAGTCTGGTTTTGAAGGGGGGAGAGGGTGAAAATGGCCTCTGAACAGGTTTGTGAGGTTAAAATGATTATCAAAAACAAATGCTTTCTCCCTACTCTTTTTCACACTAGTTCTTGCTTGTCTTCTGTGAAATGTAGGTGCACATAAAAAAAAAAGATAATCTGAACATGTTCAATTATAAACCAAGCCATCTCCTAATTGGTTGGAAGAAAGGAACTAATAAAAGTGAACTAATAAAAGTGAACTAATAAAAGTAAACTAAAAATGTATACATTTTTTCCATGTATTACGTTAATTCTCACATTGGCTGTGCTTGTGTTTCTTAACTTCTTGTTTTAGCAGGGTGGAGTCTGATTTCAGATGGGACTTTCCATGGGATTAACTAGCATGGAAGCAAACAACAATAAATACAGTAATCATGTGCTTGTGAGTAGCACCTTCCAGTCATTATTTGTAAAGGCCTTTGCAAATATCATTGTAAAAGCCTCACAACACCATGTCAGTATTACAATCTTTTTAAAGAGGGCCAAAGTAAGGCTTAGAGAGGTTGTGACTTACTTGGGGTGACCCAGCACAATCAGGGTCAAGACTGGAATTGATGAGTCTTAACTTCATTTCCTCCTTTAATCACTAGAGTGTAGTGGGTCTCAATCAATTTACCACTGTGGAATCTATATGAGGCGTCTTATATATTAAGTTGGCTCCGGTTATACAATATCTATCTATCTATATTCTACGGCTGCATCTAGGCTGGCAAGTTTTTCCACAAAAGCAACTGCTTTTGCGGAAAAACTTGCCAGCTGTCTACACTGACCACTTGAATTTCCACAAGAACGCTGATGATCTCATGTAAGATTGTCAGTGTTCTTCCGGAAATACTGTGCTGCTCCCGTTCGGGCAAAAGCCCTCTTGCGCAAATACTTTTGCGCAAGAGGACCAGTGTAGACAATGCAGTATTGTTTTGTGCAAAAAAGCCCCGATCGCGAAAATGGCGATTGGGGCTTTCTTGCGCAAAACCGCGTCTAGATTAGCATGGACGCTTTTCCACAAAAAGTGCTTTCCGTTAAAAGCATTTGCAGATAATCATGCCAGTCTAGACGTAGCCTACTTGTATGGCCCTGAGGATGCCACATGGACTGCAGCTGTGTGCTGATTGGGCTGCAGGTTGATTGGGCTGATTGGGCTGCTGGTTTAACTGCACTAATATGGCCCTGAGGATGCCACATGGACTGCAGCTGTGTGCTGATTGGGCTGATTGGGATGCTGGTTTAACTGCACTACTAGACTATCAGAGGGGTAGCCGTTGCATCTGACGAAGTGGGTCTTTGCCCATGAAAGCTTATGCTGCAACACTTCAGTTAGTCTATAAGGTGCCACAGGACTCCTCGCCGCTTCTACTAGACTATATTCATTATACAGCTCCAACGGCTACTAAGCAGCAATGTTATAATCCAAGTAAAATGAAAATGTGAGTACATACATATAAACTCTTCTGGATTTTCCCTGAGATAAAAGGAAACAATTACCTGTGCTACTAAGCCCCCAGTGCATTCTCTGTGCTCACTTAATCCCTAGCTTCTTGGCCAGGGGCCAACCTACTAAATTCTCCTTTCAAAAGACTTTAATGGGAGTTGCATGCATGTATGAATTTGGCCCGAGGATGCCATTTCAAAGTGACAATGGCTTTTGTGTGATGCTGGATACTTATTTCTTGGAAACTGGACCACTCCCCCAATTGATTCCACAATTATCCATGAATCACTGTCACTGTCTGCTTTCACATTTACCACAGTTAGGGCAGTTCTTATTTGGTGGCTCTCAGTTTCAAAAGTCAGGCTCTTGTCTTTAGTAAGATTATTTGTAATTTGCAGACCAATACTAGGGAACCAATTAGAAGGTGTGTATAAGAAATCAGTCCGGTCCCAGTTTAGGACCTAAGTAGATAGTCCTAGTCCACATCACTAAATCTTTATTACAACTAGCACTTCAGTAGGTAGTCTCAGTGGCGTATTCAAGGATTGAATTGGCAGGAAGATTACCCGTAAGGTCCAGCTATGCCAGGAAGGTGACCCACTGCAGATACAGGTAATCTAAGGGCAGGATTCAGAGGAAGGCTGGCTTTGTGGTTAAGGCACTAGGACTCCTCTCTAAGCTCTAACCCCAGCCTTGCCCCCATGCTTCTTGTTCAGGCAAACTTTTTGTATCAGTTCTCCATTTGTAAAAAAGGGATAATACTGTCTTTCCTCAATTCCGTCTTATCTGTTTACACTGTAAGCTCTTTGAGGCACACTCTTATTGTGTGTGTGTACAGCACCTCATGTGGAGCTCTTGTCTCAGTTTTAGGACCCTCTCCCCCAGTCTCAATTGGAGGGCCCTCCCCCCCCAGTGCTCCTGTAATACAAATAAGACTAATAATTTATGCCTGCAATAGGAATCTAGTTAACAATTCTATTACTGGTACACAAAGAGAAATAGAATCCAGCTCAATAACTCATACTGGCCTTGCAAAGCCTTCTGCAAGTAAACCACAAAATCTCATTTTTTTTTGGTCAGTGAAGCCATGAGATAGGCTTCCTAATGAACAGCTGAGGCAGGAGATTTTGCAGAAGAGCAGAACTGCACTTTAGACAGCCACTGTAAAACACAACCCTAAGGTTTCTAGTACACATTTGTTCAGACCTAGGTTAAATGTTACCTTTATCCAGGCAACAGATTTATTACTTCTCCCCGGTGTGGCTGCTTCATTATAGCATTTGTCATTTGCCTTCCAAAACACAAAGTTCCAAATTAAGTACATTACATGTACTTTTTTCCCCTGCCTGAGTACATCAGGAAATCACATTTCTCTTGCAACCCTTTAAAAAGTAAAGCTTTACAATTCTGTAGTCGGTACCCAACCAAGGCATAGAAATGTCCATTCCTTACCTGAGTGAAGTAAAGATTCATCAGTGTCAGTGTGAAAAACTGGAGGCAAACTGGGAAGCAGTAGAGAAACCAAAAGATGAAGGGTCGGAGAGAGTTGGCTGTGACAAAATCTTTGAAGTAAAATGAAAAGAGCACAGTCCTAAGTGAGGCCCAAAATAGGCACAGAAACAGAAAGACAGTTTGGTAACTGAACCTCTTGTGCCTGTAGTGGAGGACCAGCCAAAGTTGGATGTAGATGAACACAAAGAGGAGGGAATAAAAAGCAGTATATACAATGGTCAGGCCCAGCGTTACATACGGAGGGACAGCTGGTGTCAGGGTCCCTGGCAGGGTGTCATTTTTCAGTGAATCCCACTCAGCAGCCTCCATTTGAGATCAGAAATTGTCAGAGTTCCTTATTAAGGTTGGCTGCTTCTGCTCCTGCCTCCTTTCATCCTCCTACAAGCAGCATAAGAACCAAGAAAAAGAAAGAAAACAAGCTGCACTTCCTCTTTGGCAGCTCACTGAAGGCTGGTAGCACATGATCACAATTCAGAATGATTCATGAGAGCTGCCTGTGTCAGCAATTGACATGGAACTATTCTGAAGGCTGCTCTTTGCCGATGTTTGTGGACAACTCCTATTCATTGTTCAGAAAATAAAAAGACCCATCACCAGCCTGAACAGTTTATAACCAAACCCTTTCCTAAACAAGCTAATTTTGATTTAAAATGAAGTCAGTAACACGGGTGTTAAAGTAGGAAGTCACTAATTGATTTTTACTAGCAATATCCAGGTCAGATTCTGTGTTTTAGGAGTTGGGGAGGGGGGGAGTTAACAAACAATTTATTTGCTTCTGTTTAACTAAAAAGAATTATAGGAACTTTTATTCAAAACTCTGTGGTAAACTGTTGGACTCTGGATCTTTATTACAGAATCCTGCAGTGCTTGGTAGGGAACATACAATTAGAACAGCAAACTGATCGGACAACCCATCTAATATTATCTCTTTTTCTATTAATGATAAATATCAGATATTTCAGGGTGGGGGGCAGGAGCAGGGGACATATAAGACCTAGCATTGCCAACCCTCCAGGATTGTTTTGGAGTCTCCAGGAATTAAATATTGTTCTTAAAGATTATGTCATTTGATGAAAGCTCCAGGAATATGTCCAACCTGAAATTGGCAACTCTACATAAAATTGGCATAAGACTTTTTACCTAAATGTGTCTGTCTCTTAACAGGAACAAAAGACAAACACTAAATGCCAAAATGTGCTAAAACATAAGTGTAACTTCAGGATTTTCCTGCTCAAATATTTTCTGCCTTGGCCATCTCTTGGACAATGATTGATTGGATATGCTTGTGGGTAAACATGCAAATGCGCCCTTGGGATTAGCTTTATAACATAACACTTTCTATTGTGGGCATTTCTGAAATCGTTAATGTTTGTCAAGTGTAATGAGGTTTGGGAAGTGAAGCTAAGTGGTTTTGACATCTGCACTGTGAAGAGATACAGTTCTCTAACACCTCAAAGTCATGAATAAAGTTAGGATAAAACCATTTTGGCTAAGGCTGGTAGAGAATTAATATTCTTTCTGGATTTGTTTTATTTTATAATCTTCAATAAATGGATTTGAAAAGAACACCCCTACTAAACCGGAATAGTTTCCAGTTAAGATTCCCAAATTTCCTGTGAGCAGGGGGAGCACCTGCTTTCAGCAGAATACTCCTACTTCATGGCTATTATCAGATTTTCAGAATGAAAGCAATAGAGGAGTTAATGATTTATGTTATGAAAAAACCTTCCTAACAAATAGCTGCAGACAGAAAAGATGACATGCTCACTTCTGCCTTGCTGAATAAATATCAGAGATGACTGGTGATAAATGACGGGCATGTCTGAGGCATGCATAACTTGGTATGGCACTTTAAACAATTTTTTAAAAAGACATTGGCCCTTCCTTGAAACTGTTTAAATCTGTGTGTCTAAAGCTATGCTCTTATTAGGGACCTAAATATAGGGGCCCTGATTTTTCAAAGGTGCTGAGCAATCCCAGATCCTGTTGACTTGAAATAGATTTGTGGATGTTCAGTTCCTCTGAAAATCAGGTCACTTATATTTAGATGCCTAAATATGGATTTAGGAGGCCCACTTCAGGCTCGCACAGCCCTGGTCTACACTAGGGCATTATTTCGAAATTATCCCTTTTAGGTCAAATTTATAAGTGGAGAGTCCATATTACCAAGCCTGTTATTTTGAAATAACAGACTGCTTATTTCACATCCGTACTTCTACTTTCCTCAGGGAATAACATTAATTTTGAAATAGTTATTTTGAAATAGCAGTATTGTGGATGCGCTGGTGCCACTATTTAGAAATAACTACTCCCCAGAGTAATTCAAACTAATTACCCCCCAGTGCTTCCTTGGGTTCTAAGGTAGTGTGTCTACATTAACAGAGCCTGCCTCAGACTAATTTCAAGGCTTCTTTGTAGCGGGGATACGCTATTTCATTTTTGTAAAATTGGGAGTTAAGTCAAATTTAGTTATTTTGAAATAGTTTTCTAGTGCAGGCTTACCCTTACACTCTGCTTTTGAGAACTTGGGAGAAAGAGCCTATACTACTGTAAGGTTCTGAGCTCTTCCTGAGAGATGCTGATGGTCTGAACTCCCACCTCTCAGGAGATCCTAAACTCCTACAAAGGGTAAGACTTTAAATTAGACACACCTAGAATATT